GAGAAGATTCTCTCAATGTATGGTCGCTTGTCAATTAATCGATTCCGCGTGGAATTCGTTGCATGAGAAAAGCGATTTTTCGTGTTGACGCGATTGAGTGCAAACCTGACGAGCAACGGTCATCGTGAGTAGACATTCTGCATCGCATTTTGCAGATTTACTCGACATGTTCGACTACAATTAATAGGAAATTTACTCGACAGTTTCGCATTGACTGTGACTGGATCTCCATTGACACTTCATCACATGTGAATAGTCGCGGCTGTGTAACGGGCTTCGCCTCTTCGCCAGCTCCATTGGCTCGGACGATACTGAAAGATCAGTTCCGTGATAGATGAGATCAGTAAACGTAAAATTAACATCCGGTATTAAGAAACTAATGAAATCGATAGGCAAAAAATCCAGATTTAGTAGACAATTTAAACGAAAAATATATAATTATCAATATTTCAGTGATTATACAATATATTATATATATAAAAATTGGATAAATAAATAATCAATATTTAATTTTCAATAAGTAACAATAAAGAATCAATAAGAAGCAATAAGCAATAAATAATCATTTAATTTATAATATAAATGCAATCGATAATAGTGAAAAAGAATTAAGAGCAGAGAGAAAAATCGATAATTACTCATTTACATAATGCTACTATAATTTTATGTTTTAATTTAAAGAGACTCTTCTTACCCTTATTAGCATTTGTCCCGATGCGCTGTGAGGGTTACGATAAGCGTATACACCCCAACCCGCGAGACCTACCACTAAAGCGATAACTGTGAGAATACCGATTATTCCTGAAACGCCCATATTCACCTTGTTCGAATCTAAAAAAATATACAGAATAAATTGCTTAGTATGACAAATCTAATTATCTTGGATTTCAAGAGGAAAGAGAAATTATTAGAGCAAATAATACAAAATTCGTTTGTTTCGATTCCGCGAATCGATTGTTTCGATTAACGATTAAACTTCGAACTAAAATTATCGCGGAAATTATGCGAATTAAATTACAGGCCGATTACAAGACTACATTAACAAATTGCATTTTCCATATGAAAATTGAAAGCTATCTTGTATCACGTACGAATCTACATACATGTATAAGTTTGTCAAATTTGATTAATGACACAATATCATCGAAAATAAAAGTACTTACTAGGACTTTCCAAAGTATTGCCAGACCATTCTTTTTTTACGCCCATCTCATTGGTGGCGATCGACTCTTCTGGATGTACGTGGCCATCATGGTCATATTGATCACCCCTGTAAGTTGTAATTTGCGCTGGACAATTGTTTATCTCCTTGATGTTATGGACGTCGCAATCCTTTGACAACCACTCTTGTCGCTGTCGGGACGTGCCGGTGCTGCATTTGTTCAGCTCCGAGCACCACTTACAATCGAAGTCAGGCACCTTTGTCAAGCAATCCATGCAGTTATCGGAATTGAGGCATGTGGGTAATGCTTTCAAGTAAATGACCGTGCAGTTCATTATATCCTGCCGATTGAAGTTGACACGATGGTACTCGTAGATGGTTTTCCGGCGTACGACTGCAAAGCGAGATCAGCAAATTGAATTTTCGGAGTATATCTTTAGATACTTAATTTGTTAAAACAATAAACATAATTCGCGGTATGTCTAATTAAATCACCACTTGAAGAATTTTTATCTGGATTTTAATGCAAAAATTTGAAGATACTCTTCAATATCTACAAATTAAATAATTAATGAATAGAAATAACATCTTGCGGGATAATTTCACATCTTACATTGCAAATTTCTGGATTTTATCACGGAAATAACAGACTATGCATTGTTATTACAGAAAGTTGCAAGAAATACACTACTTTATACAGAATTTCTAATCACTTCTATGATGTCAAGTTAGACTGATTATAAGTCCAGTTAACACTGTCCTCTATATAGAAGTTTTTTCTACATCCGATGATCAATAGTGATAAGATATTATTTCACGATGCAATCATGTATCCAACGAATAAACGGGAAAATTAGATAATAAGCAAGAAAACACTCACAGAACACAGTTCGGTCCATGATGTAGGCATCACTGAGGCCCACTTTGACGGGATGCATTGTGTCAGCGATTTTTTCAACCAGGACCGGTATCACTGAGTAGACGAACACGATGTCTCCGTTTTGATGCAAGGTCACTTGGAAAGTGAACGCGCCGGCTTTTGGTCTGTCCTGTAGCACAACCTTCTCCCATTCCACCGTAAACGCCGTACCTGTCGTACAAACGAAAAAGAGGATTTAACAATCTCGTGTTGAGATTCGTGCACGACTCCGACTACGTTTTGTGCCACGTTTCTTTGCCACTGGTTGTTTGATGAGGCGTGTAATTACGATCGGCAAATCGTTGCGCCGATTTATCCTTCCTCTCTCACTCTCCGCTTCCCACAAAGGTTGCCGATCACTACTGACGCGAACGCTTTGCGACACGATACAATCCAGCGAGGAGAAAGGATTTAGAAAATCAGCTTGGAAGGACTTGAGAAGATTATCAAACGTTTTGAAAAACATGCGAAATTATGAGAGAATTCGCTTATCGTAATAGGATTTTTTTTTTTTTTAATTTTTGAACGTAGATTATTTGAAATATATTATAGCCACGGTAAACACGCGAAGAATCTCTTAAGTGTCTCGACCGTAGTGGATTCTGATTGGCAATGATTGACTTTCGTTCGGAGGGAGATGTAAGAACAAACATCCTTTAGGTGGCATGAAAATGCCATCCATTCGAGATTCCGATGACTCACCATTGTCAGCGTACTTGACGTAACTGGCGTTCGACAGGCGGGTATCGAAATTTGCCATGAGCGGTGCAATGTACTGGGTGGCGGCCAGCCAACTGTGTACGTAGTCACCGGTGTATAGAAAACCTCCCGTAGCGATAGTAATATTGCGCACATTATAGCCGTAGAATGGGAAATCAAACTTCAACTTAACGGTCTGTAACAACATAGAAATCACAGTACAATTCCTATCCAGACTTATATGGATTAATGATTAACTGTTCTCGTGTTTCTTACGTTCGCGGAAAGAACGAATTTGTATTAGATAGATACGTATCAAAAAACATTTTCATCAATCATCAAAATAATTGCATAGGAAATTCAAACATGATGCAATGATGCAAAAAGCTTTAACATTCTAGCAACTTCTACATAATTATTTTGCTAGTTCGACAAAATTTATTTTCAGACCTGTATCTAATCTAGCTAATTCTTAGATATGTCAGCAAAATCGTTTTTTCCTTGTTTTAAGTAATCTTTTGCTATAATAAAGATCGAATATTCTGAATATATATATACAAGTATGTATTTGTGTATCAATCGCCTTTGTCTTTGATTATTATATAAAATCTAAAAGGATCTAATACATGGTACACTCTATATCACTTTCAATTTTTTACAAGAAAATCGCAAAATAATGACAAGTGAGAGTCTCACCGCGGCGCGTCGATGGCTCTGGCTAAGTAGATGATTGACTCTAAGATCCGGATGATTGTCCATGTCGACCCAGTATTTTTTGCAGATATCGGTGTCGACGATAAAAGTGCTGTTGTAATACTGATGCGAGTCGTACATCGTTTTAGTGATGTTGTTCTGTGTAAGCGTGAAGTTAGTCACGTCGGAGAATTTGTTAAAGGAAATATCGCTGTCGTCGGATTTCATGACATCTTCTGTTGTATCCTTCACCGCCGAGGATTCCGACTGCTGTTCCTTGCTGGTACCGGTTATATTGCGATTTGCCAGAGTGCGATTTGTCCATATGTGTAGTGTTGCCTGCGAACAGGTTTCAAATGGATGCATAATTGTTAAACAGTGACGATTATAAGTGATTGGCAACTTTTCGCATCGCGCGCGCGAATCTAAACATAAAAATGACTGAATAAATCCATTACTGACACCTACCGTGTCGGTTGCAGGATTTACTGTCTGCGACGCCTTCTTCTTTGAATCCGGCTTGGAGCTGGAAATAGGATCAGGTAATCGAACAGTGGAGGTGGTGGTGGTGGCTTCGCTGGTCGAATAAACTGTGGAATACGTTATGTCGGCGGATGCGTTGGTTGTGTTTGACGTCGGTTGTGTTGCTGATGCTTGTTGCGGCTGCTGCTGCTGCTGTGGTTGCTGTTGCTGCTGCGGTTGCTGCTGCTTCGGTTGCTCCTGTTGCTGCTGTGGTTGCTGCTGCTGCTGCTGCTGCTGTGGTTGCGGCTGTGCTGGTGGTTGATTCTTAGATATTTCCTTTTCAGTCGTCATTGCCGATTTTTCAGGTGTCTCTCGACGTACTCTCTCTACATTCTTACCGTCGATCAGTCTGATATTCGAAATGTAATGATCGAACGGCGACTTGCCATTCCATCCGGCATAACCGTAGTAAGAGTCGTCTGAAATAGAGGAGAAAGCGTATTCTAGTTATGACGTCGAAATCTTGAAGAGTATTGAAAAGAAATATTTTCTAATGCTGGAATGTATAAACATTACTATTTTTATTTTAATCTTTCCTCGTCTCTCCGAAAAAGATATTACAATAAAAAAAATTACACTAACAAATTTAATTTGAAATTTGCAGAATAAATTTTAAATAATCTCAAGAGAATTTGGAAAATAAATAAATTCGGTGAATCATCACGAAAGAAAATGGATTTGGAAACAATTTTTAATGGGTTGAAGTAATTTATTTTATATGGGTCAAATTTTTAGAGACAATATTTTTTCATTTAATAGTATAAACTTATAATCCATCCATTCGTATCTTAAGCGGAGATAGATACGTTCTGTACATATCTTTCACAAACGAAAGAACTTGTCTCAATTTATCCTTGAGCTCGCGTTGCAATTACGATACTACGACTGATTATTGAATGATGACTAGGACCAATCTATGACACGTACATGACATAAATCTCTGACATATGACTGTGTTGCATTCGTGCATTGTCTCCGGTTCACACAGGCTCACCGAGAGTGATTCCCTTCGAGGGGATCGGGTGTCCATTTAACCGATGCGTCAACGTCAAGCCCATCGCCGGTGTCCGAGATCAGTGCCATGAAACGCGGATTAACCTCGATTTCTACGTTCGCGATAGCCGCGGCACAATTAATGGACAATTCGGGGGCAAAAGTGACACGAGACAAACTTTTCACAATTCATTCACACTAAATTCGTTATCAGGATCTTTCGCTGGAACGAGCAATTTACTATCATGCATGTATTTTTCAACCACGCTTTTTGTGCTTTTTTAGCATATTCCACTTACTCTGGAGTTACAATTTATCGACAAAACGATATGGAACTCAAATTATCTTTTCGTATAACATGAGTCATCATAATATCAAAATGACTTTGATATGAATACTAAAAATAAGTTTTAAATCATTATGAATTCATTTCAATGTCATTTTGATCGCAACTTGTTATTGCTATTTTATACAAAATTTTCTTTTCGAAAAATCAGAAAATATGAAGAAATTTTATTTTATATTTTTATTTATTTTTTATAGAACCTAATTTTTCTGATTGTATCGCCTATTACGATTGACTCACAGTGCAAAGCATAATTAAATGATTAAAGTTGTTAACAATTCTTTTAGTAGATAGATATTAATAAATATGACCATTGAATTCCGCATCATAAAAGAACGTGTTTCGAATCGTCGGCGAAGAGGAACGGGAAGTTAGGCGGTACGATCGACCGGATAGAGCAATAATTGACGATCCGACAAATCGGAGCGAACGTGCAAGCTTGACGTCAATGTATAGTAAAAGCGTAAACCGAAACCAATCGACTCAACAGTTTACTGTATTGGAAAGCTTTTTTCCTCATCATTGCGAAATTATCTCTCTTTAATATTTATAAACTCTCTGATATCCCATTTTTCCCCTCGGGAGATTTGAATTCTGTCCCATAATTTACCACATCACATGATTTACATTTCAAAATAACTTTTTATCCTACATACTTTTTCCTGAAAAATTATCGAAAGCATAAGCGAAAAACTATTACCTGAAGTTTACGTAAAACATCAGTTTGAATAACAATCTGCTTATTAAGAAATATCCGCTAAATAAAGAAAAATAAAAATAGAACAGTTGTCAACTCATAAATTAGCTCTGTTGAAAAACTGCAATCAAAGCGAGCTCAGAGAACTTTCACCGAACAGATCAATTCTCAGGTACGAACGAGTTTCATTAATTGCGCACTAGTGAATCGACTCGATTTCTTAGCAGTAGCGGCGAAATTGTAAAATCGCTTCGCCGAATTGTGCAAATCGTAAACGCAAGTGAATTGGGCAAAGCTACGTCGTGTAAAGGTACGTCGAATTGTGGAAAGGTTTCCTCGAATCCAAATCGAGATCGGCAGAAATGGGTTTTCTACCCACGCGAATTGCTAAGTCACGTTGCACATCGCGAATTTTCGCGTTTTCGCTCGTATTACGTCATTGCGATTCGATGCGGTCGTGACAGCCGCTATTTGCAAAGTAGCCGTAATCATTCTAATTGCATAATCGCTATCTCAGCTACATAATCCACAAATCGTAATGTTAATTTACGAGACTCGCGCGACCGACTTACATCTCTTTCGCAGAATTAATATTCATAACCCTGACTGTTTTAGAGTGATATCGATAATATAGGTATGACATGCACGAACAGCGTGTAAAACTTTCGCGTGAATATAATATGCAGATATAATTAATAGAAAGGTACTCCTCGAACAAATTAAATTGAACAGAAGCGGAGAGCAGAGCGATCGAGCGCATAAAACGCTCACGTATTTGTCTGCCTCCCACGTTATTGCTTTAACTTTATTTGCTGCAATTATTGAGCGACTACAGGTCACGAAGAGAATTGCGAGATACGCCACGAGTTACGACATGCGCCAGAAATATATTTGTCTTAGTCCATAACGTTCAATTTCGCTCGTTTCACGCGAATATGTGTTTCCCGTTCTTTTGTGCGAGGTGCATTTTCATGCCGACGATATTCCGCGTAAAGATAAGACATGCCGTGTCAGACGTGCAGCCTTGGATGAAAACGTGCAGTGGTGAATATTAAAATTGAAATAGTACTATCGGTGAATGTCAATGCAGAGTTACATTTACATCGCGCATTTTAGCATAGCTGAAAGATAATTTCTTACATCGTAACGACCTAACGGCAACGAGTAAAGAGAATCCATTTGCTACAGGCGTGTAAAATTCGATCGCAAAACTTGAAGTCGGGACTTGACATTAATTAGCTCGAGTGATAATATACTCGTATAAAAAATACAAGCGACACGACGATCGGCACACCCATATTAATTATACACATCGTAATGCAGTGCACTGTGTATTTTGCACGATGTAAGCGCAATCAATATCCACTCATTAGATGTCCGACACGACATATTATGCGAGATATTAAAAGATGATTTTGTGTATATTTATCCATTGCTGATTAAAACGCATGTCGCTTCGCCAAGGTAACTCGAGAACGCCTTGGCGTCTCGATGCCTCCGCATATATGCGCGACATATTTTTAGACGACGCAAGTAAAAGGATGCACTCACATTGCGATTCTTTTTACGCCTTAAATAAGCGAATAAATGACGTGTCCCTTGGATTATAATTATTTAACGATGTGAATGAAAAAGTCGAGATAAAGTTAACAATGGATAAGAAAAGCAAGTAGGAAACTTGTAAACAAATATTTTTCCACGAAGCTCTTCTATAACACTTCACGGAATTCCATCCCTTTAATTAAAAGCGTTTTTTTAATCGATTTGGCGGAAAATTGTGCGGCAGACATGTGCCAATGGTAACAGTCGTCATAAAATGATTAAAAACGACGACAATTACTTTTCTCGCGGAGAAATAACAGTATTATATTTATCCACCGATTTCTATCATCACATTAACCTGATTATTTTAATTATCATATAAACGTACTTATACATACCGCTTACACTGACTTTATGAATCTCAAAGACACTCCTTTATCACATTTCTCAATGGAAAAGAAAAAAAATAATCATAGATAATTAAAAGCAAAATAAAAAGTTCGGCTGAGGAAATGTATTTATATGATATCACACAACTGTGGTGAAAAATTTTAAGCAGCTTTAGAGAATTCCTAGCTTACATATGGAAGGATTAATAGTTTGAAAAATAAACATAAACGTCGTACGCGCGAAACGATGGACATCTTTTTCCCATGATACTGCTTGATGATTCTGTAATAAATTACAGATTGAATTACTGAATATGACTTTTATTGGATCAAATAGACGCGCGCGTAACAAAAATAAGCCCTTCTCTCCAAAGAGTTTGTTCACAATTTCGCGGGCAAGCACAAGCATTTATGTCCTCGTTCCAAATCTTTTTAAGGAAATTCGAAGCCATGGATTTATTCACGATGATTAATCGATTTTAACGCAACAGGAAATAAGTCATCCGATATTCACGAAACTTATCAATTTTAATTTTAAATTAATTGACACACGCAATAAATAAACTACTGAAAGTTACATTTCTTCCCCTCTAAAAAAAAATATATAATACATTAATTCTTTTAAATATTTAATTCTGTGCAAAGCGTAATAATGATTTATGTAAAAATTTAATATGCTCTTTTCATGTTTCTGCATGTATATAAATAATCGAACATTTAACGAAGCTAAGATATCGCTATATTGTGATATAAAGACCCCGCAGACTTATCTTATTTGCATTTATCATTTCTCATGGAACACTTTGTTTACTGAGCCAGTAATAGGATGTGCGTGAAAGGTTTTTCATGTACTTTCGATAATAGGGCGTGCCATTAATCCCATTACGATCATACCTTTTCCGCTTCCTTTCACATTTTACTGCGATCCGCGATATCGGAACGGAAACGACGCGACAATCAATGTCAATGTTACGCACGCTGCCATCAAGCCACCCACATCAGAGAACATTCCTTTCTTCCTTCCTTTCCGAACGAAATATATGGATATAACGCCATTATATAATAAAAGTGTTTTTAGATTTTTGATTGCGGTTTTAGTTTCTGAATAATTTTAATCTCAAATTTGTTGATGCCAAAACTCCAGATAAAGCTAATTGATGATGGCTCGTCACAAATTGGCAACGGCACGAATATATACGCAATGACTTTCACACGTCAAGCGGTCAAGCGATCTGTTTATCTTTTATATTTTTATACACTGTCGTAGTAATGCTACCGCGACACTTGATAAACCATTATATTAAAAAAAACATTGTTATGTTATATATAATAAAAATGTGTCTAGATTTATAGCGTTATTTATTCTTACAATTTATCATACAACTTTCAAAAATGATGCAAATACACTATTTATTACATTAGACGTTTTAAATTATATATGTAAAATTAATT